TGCTGCTCATTTTTTTAAATCATTTGCTTCTTGCCTATGTTAAAATACAGAATTTGTGGCATACACCTAATCACAGGACGATTCTTCCTAGTTCGCCTAGGGTAGGACTATTCCGACTAACTGACCTGTGGGAGCGGGAGTGCCACAGGGCAGAGTGCTCGGACCACTCCTGTGTCTCCTCAAATATCCCTCCTTGCAGCCTTTGCAGGCGATACAGCTATGCTTTCCTCTGATCCCGATCCTGCTCGGGAGGATTGTATAAAACACTTTATAATAAAACACGCTTGTAATAAAATACACTGGGAGGAGCTCGAGGCATACTTCCAACGAAGAGCGGAATGGGACCAAATTTGAAAAATCCATTAAAACAAATGCTCCCATGTTACCTTTACCCTCAGAAGCAAAACCCCTCATACAATATTTCCTCAACATAAAATCGACTTTGTACGCTTGGGTTCTGTGTTGACACACCCTTAACCCAGAACCGACATATACAAATAAAAAGACAGGAACTTCACAGACGCTTCGGACTCCTCTATAAACTACTCGGACGGAAATCTAACATATCGAGAAAAAAAACTGACACTACTGAAATCGATTTGGAAATTGGACATACGGACTAGAACTGTGGGCACCGATAAACCTACCAATATTCAAAGAAATCAATCCTTCCAATTCAAAGTCCTCAGAATAATCCACGCCCATTACAACGTCTCCAATGCCACCCTCCACAAAGACCTAAAAATACCCTTTGTAAATAAATTGTTCCCCACCGAATTTTCCACATTCCATGAAAAACTATCCTCACATCCTAACACAGTTCGATCCATGTCCAACATTATTCATGTCCTACAAGCCAGTAAGACGATTGATGCGGAAATGTCCCCAGGACCTTCTTATGAATAGCTCAGAAATAATTCAAAAATCTGGATTGTTTACAACAATAGTTGCTGGTATTTGTAAATAAAAATTTTGTATCACGTTACGTAATGCATATATTTGTACAGTAATAAATAATAATAATAATAAATTTGTGAACGAAATACGTTTCAAAATAGGTTAAAATATTTTTTAAGAGGAATGAAAGTTTATATTGGTTTTTGAAACCTCGAAAAAACCCTAAATCCAACTTTTTGAGAAAGTCGAAAAATATTTTTTTCACTCAGAAATTTTTGCTTTCCAAATGCCGGAAAATGTTTTAGAAAATTACATAAATGATGGTAATTTTGAAATTTTCTGCACCAATCCATAATAATTCTTATAGGATTTTACAACCCTTTAAACTACATAATGGCACAAATCAGGCCTCCGTAAATAAATCAAAACCGGAGATATAAAATAAAAAGTTGGGGAATTGTTTGCTTAGATCATTCTTATTTGCTTTAAAACCAAATATATTTGATAAAGGATCAAAGAAGAGAAATACAGCGTTACAACGGTTGTAGACATTGAATAAAATCCAGAGGACTTAGGAATTTTTAAGTGAGATACCGCAAATCTGAGAAAAAAATTGCCTCCAGCTGATCTAGCCTAAAAATGTCTATTTTTTTATTTTCTATGGTAATTCGTAATTGAGGTCCGTAAATAATACTTAAAACGAATCAGAAATGATCCATTCAAAAAGACATTTTTTGCCTACTACATAAAATGGTTGCAATAGTCTTAGATTTGGACAAAAAGCAGAGAATTTATGAATTTTTGCGATGAAACCCCCGATGAACCCAACCCAAAAATAAAAAAGTCAAATTGGCGATATTTATATAGAAAAAAAACCCCTACTTTTTCTCCTTTTTTAGCATTACAGTGTTGGTTTTTTTTATTTAGACCAATATACATACAGTACAGGTGAAAACATACACGGACAGAACGAAAATACAAGGAACCGCCCTGCAAAAAAATATAATTTAAATGAAAGTATAAGTAAACGATTATTAATTAATAATACCATAATAAATCTGCAGGAGGAAGATTATTTGTGTAAATCTTTGACATTCACATTATTTTGTCACCCTGTTCTGCCTCCAGCCCTTTTGTCCGCCTTCTTCCCTGCAATTATAACAACAAATCAATTTTATATATTTACCTTTTATCGCTGTGAAGGTTAAACAATAGTTGTTTGCGAACGAAATTTTTGTTTAATAAAATTATAGGCGTTTTTCTCCTGATTTTAAGGTGGTAGGCGACTGGAATAGCAAACTGGCAAAATGTAATGCAAAGTAATGTAGGTTTTGAAAAAACATTTTCTTTATCATGCCAACGTTTCGATCTTTATAGAGATCATCTTCAGGGCCTAGGATTTATAAACATTGTTTAAATTTTACAAATACATGTAGGAGGTGGCAAAAAAATCAACTTACACAATGCTAGAAAATTTTAGATTGAAAAAAATGAATTTATACAATGCTAGAAAATTTTAGATTGAAAAAAAAAATGAATTTATACATTGCTAGAAAATTTTGACTTGGTCAATTGACCACTAAAATGTAAATGGGTCGGTCAAAGTTGATACAAACCAAATATTTCTACTCCTATGTTTATTGTGCTAATTTGTTTTGAAAAGATTTTTGTTCTTGGTTTTCTTTTAATTATAACTCGTGTTAATGATTGATAACTATTTTGTTTTCTTTTAAATTCATATTATTCCTGTGAGTTAACCAAATATTTCTTGGTTTTCTTTTAAAATAATATCCTTTGAGTTAATGATTAACAGCTATTTTTGGTTTTCTTTTAAATTCACACCCAGTAAGTTGATAATTCATTGATTTTTTTATATTTTTTTAAGGTTTTTTTTGCCTCTTTGGTCTATTTCTAACGTTTTTATTATTTTTTAGTACATCCATGGAGTTTAGTGAACCGCTGGAAGAACGTTGTTTACGCGAAAAGTCAAAGGATTTAATTTAATCCTCAAAGATAAGTAGACAATGGGCACGGGGCGCATCAAAACAACCCTTCCGCTACCCGCTTAAGTTGTTTTGATAGTAAGCGTCATAAAGTTTTATCTGGACTTTTATTGCCATTTTCAAAAAACATAATGGAATCATTTTTATTTTAATCAATTATTTTTCTCCACTATTTACTGTACAAATTTGCTTTTAATTTTTTTAAAAAGTAAAATCGATAATTATTTTTTGTATGAATATTTTTAACTAACCAAAATGAAAATACAGCTGTTTTTCTGATTTCATTATTTTCCGTTCTATGGCTTCACCGGCGTTTGTATGTATACACATGATAAAACTTATATGGTAATAAATGTAAAAAAAAAAGGAAGAAAATAACAATAAAATAGTAATGAGCGTGGAAAGGATTAAAACAACAGTTTTTTCCATTCTTATAAAATATAACCAAGCCTTTTCTGTTTTATTGAGAAACATAAATATTACGTCAAAAACACAACAATAACGTTAATTTGTCGGATAATTGCAAGACAAGGGAAAAACTTATTTATGTATTTATAACTTTTATATGCATTTATTTATTATTAAATTACAATGAATAGTATTAGAAAATTTAGGTAAAAACATAACAATAACAGTGTACGATACCAAATTTGGTATGCACGAAGAAAAAAAATGCATATACGTAAATATAAAAAATGTAAATGCTACATGAACCAACTTGTATATTGTTCTTTTACAAAAAATATAGATCGTTTTGATTGATGATTGATTGAATAATTTGCATCAAAGAACCAAGACAAAAGGGCCGGCTGAAGAACCGGGTGACAGAAAAACGTAATTGTCAAATCTAGACGAAATTATCATACTTTTGCACTGTATAAAATGAATTAATTTACCAAAATCGGGAATTGAACGTATTTTTTAATATATATATATTTTTTTAAATTTATGCCTGAGCATTGGGAAAAGTTCAGGACTATTTTTTATGTGTGGTGATTAGTTTTATTTACATTGTAATTCACTCTTCTCCACATCCTACATGTATTTGTTAAATTTAAACAATGTTTGTAAATCCCAGGCCCTGAAGATGATCTCAATAAAGATCGAAACGTTGGCATGATAAAGAAATTTGTTTTTGAAACCTACATTACACCAGACCTCATCTCAGGATTTCTGAATAACTATTTTTTATTTCAATCTGACTGGAAAATATTGATCAGGAGTCTATAGAATAATAGTTCGTTTAACTAATTCAAGTATAAATTTTTGAAATACAGAAAATGCAGATACTTCTTGAATTTGAAGATAATTTTTTATTATCCGGAGTCCATAGAATAATTCTTAACTAACTCAAATGTAAATTTTTGAAATAAACAAACTACAGATACTTGTTGAATTTGAATTGAAGATAATTTTTATCATTTTCAAATTTCATTAGTTTTCAATTTTTAAAGTAAATTTGTTCTTTTTTATAACAACTGCCAAAAGCAAAAAAAGGCCATGCTTTGTAAATTGCATTTTTTTTATTACTATTTTTACTTCTGAGCAGTGGAAGAAAAGTTGTTTTGATGCGAACCGTGTTGTAATTGTCTGCTCTCACCTTTCATTAATTGCGCAAACACGGTTTTTTTTATACATAAAAACTTAGGATTGTAAAAAATCATTCTAACAACTCTATTAAATAAAATAATAAAAATTCGTGATTGAACTGTTTCAGCAGAAGGACAATTATTTCGGCTGAACTTTGGCGTCATTTTGTCGACCGTTCTTCAGCCAACCTTTTTTCTCGTTCTTCACGGCAATTATTCAACAAAATAATAAGAAATACGAGCGGTTTTTTTTTGTGTAAAACGTCGAAAAGGAATGTTTTAAACAAAGGGATTGTTATTGTTTAAAATTATTTTGTCACAGATCGCCTAAAATTTTAGTCTTCAAAAGAATAGGTCAATAACTCCATGTAAATTCGCCAAGTTTTATCTCTAAAAATAAGGATTAAAAATAAAATAAAATACAATACAGAAAATAAATGTATTAAGATAAAATTTGCTAGGATAATTGTATTGCACAGTCATTATTAAGTAAATATATACGAATAATTTTATTTTATTACAAACATACAGGATATTTATGTTTTATAAATTGTTTTTGGACTAGATTCTCATCATTCGTTGTCTTCGAATTTGTTCTTTGTAAACTTCGTTCAGCCTGGCCACCAAGGCTTTCTCGGAGATTGTATTGGGTTTTTCCTTGGGTTTTCCAACGAATCGGATAAACTGTTTTTTCTCTTGTAACGGGAAATCTCCACCCTCAGGACGGTTTTGGCAATGGCGACGAATCGAGGATACTCTGATGTGTGTGCAAGGTCTGCCGGTGCTGGGTTGAGTCGAGTATGGCCGATTCTTCTGCATCCCTGGTGTCATTTGATTCGTCCCAATTTTCCTGCAAAAAACAACATAAAAATATTAGCAAATTAATAAACACTGTCTACAGTATATTCAATTTTTGCCAAATAAATCTAAATCAATTATAAAATATTAAAAAACAAAAAATAAGAAATAACAACGACTTACCTTCGCCTTGGAGGAGTCTTCTTCAGATGATATAAGACGAATGCGAGAAAGAGCACACATAAGTATGACATACTCACGATGTAAGGTGTCACATAAACTGTTATCATCATGTTGGCTCGATGTGCACGGTACGAGAGTCAAGTGCAAAGTGTGGCCCTCGAAGCCCCCCTGAGCTTTTATACCTGAGCGGTGGGAAAGCCCCATTCACGGATCCGAGCAAACAACCCCTTTTGTGATAATAAAATTGAATAACGAGTAAGGGAAAATAATTTGATCATAAGTATATCTATATAGTTATAAAGTTTATATTAAATATCAGCGAAAATTAATAAGACATTAATTAATTACAGACTACCACTCTTGGTGAAACTATTCAATATTAATGTTTAACAGTTCAATTTACATCTTAAATTGTAGTTATTTGCTTATGTTAGGCTTGTTTATAAAGAAAGTTCGACTTAGGTTGTACGAGGATTTTTTTCTGATTTTCCAATACTTCTGTAATCCTGTTCTTCTGCTGGCCCTTTTGTCCGCCTTCTTCACGGCATTTAATCGACAAATTAACATACAATTATTTCAACTTTTTAATGCTATCTTTATATGTATTTTTTCTTTTTTTAGTGTTGTACTTATACTAATCTTAAATATTTACATTTGGTTTTCACTTACATTCATTTATTTATTTATTTTACAAGGCGAGGCTGTAGCCGTGGGATCACCGATTTTAAGAAAACATTTTTAGATACTAGGTCGAAAAATATTAGAGGCTCGTAGGAACATTTAAAAAATAGTTTTTTTAAACTACGCTGTAAAGCCCTAAAATTCGAATTTTTTGTCAAACGAAAAGTGACCTTTTTTATTCTTCCGGTTCTTTTTCTTTTTTTATCTTGAATTAATTTATTTTAAATATTTTGTAATTAATCCGATGGGAAATTGTGAAATAGTACGGCAGATTTTGCAGGATCAGGATTGTTTTTGTCTCGACTTAAATCTCCAGATTCTTCTGCCGTCCTGTTCTTCAGTCAGCCCTTTTTGTCGGCGTTCTTCGAGGATTTTATCGGACAAATTAGCTTTGATATTTGAAGTTGGTGGTGTCGCCCTTCTTCTGTCGGCGTGTCTGTGGGATTAATCCTTGGGTATTTGATCGAAAGGCGAAAGGCGAGAACATGCGGACCAGAATGTTTCACAACAAATGAATTTAACCTTCCGTTAAAATCAAAACAAATTTTTACAAAGTCAAATTCGTGAAAATACTTCTGTGTTCGGGGGAGGGATGAGTTTGAAATTTGATCCTTACCGATCATTTTCGTCAGCCTACCCTCGCTTGATTATCAATTGGTCAAATTCCAGACATTTTCTTAATACAGAGTCGGATATCAAACAATATAAGATACAAACGTTAAATTATTGTTGTTACAATATATATTACTATTACGATATTTGGAAAGGCAAATTTCTACCGGATATATAAAATAAAAAGCTTGGGAAGATTTTGTTCAATTTCAGTTTTATTTTTCTGTCTGAAAACGATACAAAAACCAAAGCTTTTTCTGTATCAGCTCAAAGGAGAGGAACACAAAGTTTCAGCATGTGCAATACCGTCGACAACGGATAAAATCTCGAGGAGTTACGAATTTTTAAGCGAAACATCGGGAAAAAATGTATTCTTATGTTGACCAAAAATCTGCAATTTGATTACATATTTCTTTTACTTTTCTGCTTAAAATTGCTTCTTATATGAATATGTATTCATTAAATAATTTAAAAGAAAATAGAGAAGTATTATTCATACTGTTAAAATTTTGTAAAATGAAACCATTTATTGTTCATGTATATAAAAAACAACAGAATATTAATTATTTTTGTTTGATCAAAGCGTATATTATTACATAATAAATTTCATTTTTCAGCAAAAAGCAGCTGAATTTGGTACTCGTTTAAAATTGTTAAAATTTTATTTCCGCGAGATGTCGTGACCGATGTCAGTCGAGGGTGGCTCAAGTAAAAAAAAGTCCGGAGGAGGTGAAAGTTATAAAGCCACGGAAGGGCTTCGAGGGCTACACTTTACATTTGGGCTTCGTATCGTGCAGACCCAGCAATCATGATCATCGTTGATTTGACACCCGTCATCGTAAACATGTCATACTTGTGTATACTGTTTCTCGTATTCGTCTTGTACCATCCGACGGCTTTTCAGAAGCAAAAGTAAGATTATTTTGTAACTTGTATAAATTTTGATCGATATTGGTTCTGTTTAGTTGATATATTTTTTTAAAATATTTTTAATATTGATCCTAGCATAGCTTGAAAAGTTTTAGAAGTTCGAAAAATATAATATATACTAATGTTTATTTTTGTAGAAAAATGACCAAGTGTTATGATTCTCCAGCGGCGAAATTGGTTTTCTCATGTGTAACACCCATGAGCTCATGGAAACCTTGCGCAAATTCCCAATTTCGCTCAAAAAGGACTTGTCGAAGATGGCCGGTGAACGACGACGGCTCTCATAAAACTGTCAGAAGACAGCTTTTCAAATGTGACGGAAAAGTGGCTGAAAACCCCGTAGAAAAAGTCGACGAAGGCTTTGATATTGACATAAACAGGTCAGAATTTTTTTTAAAACGGTTTTAATAATTTTCGTAACCTTTTTAACATGCAAAAATTGGGTTAGTGAGATAAATGTGTATTTTTATGCTTTAGCTTTATGCTTTGTTACAGAAAAATGGTCAAGAATTGCGATTCGCCACCGCCAAATTTGAATCTTTCGTGTTCGACACCCGTGAGTGAATGTCCTCGCCCAAATTTTCAACGTCCCTCGAAAAAGACTCGTCGCAGGCGTCCTTTGGACAGCAACAACACTGGCAGAACAATCGGAAATGAGCTTTTCAAATGTGACGGAAAAAAGGTAGAAAAACCCTGTAAACAATTCGGAGAAGATATGGACGCAGTCAAGAAGGAGATCCAAAAGCAGATCAATCGTCAGAGAAGTCTTAGACTCTAGGGAAGGCGAGTGTATATTGTGTAAATTATTTATATATAAATATTTTTAGTACCAATGACAATGTGCAATATTGTATAGCTTAATAAATTTATTATCAAATTTTATCTTCTGCGTTATTTTCCAATTCTTACTTTTAGTATAAAATAAGTTCCGTTTCACAAAACAGCCAAATATTCAAGGAATTATCCTAACCTATTTCACACCAAATTCTGGTAAAAAATGCAAATACTTAATGTTCATCTGTTGAATAATTGCGATGAAGAACGCCGACAAAAGGGCCGGCTGAAGAACTGGGCGACAGAATAATAATCCTGTACGACCTGCCTTCAATTATTGTTTATGATTACTAATTTTGTAATTTAAAAAAAAAGTTTTTTTGTTTTATTCCAAACCTTGTTTTCTTTAATTGTCCACTCTCGTCTTTATGTATAACATTTTACCCTTGAATGAATGAGAGAAACTATAAATGTAATTTATTTAGAAATCGTGAGATGCGGTCTGGTGTGATGTAGGTTTCAGAAAAACATTTTCTTTATCGTGCCAACGTTTCGATCTTTATTGAGATCATCTTCAGGGCCTGGGATTTACAAACATTGTTTATATATTACTATTACATTTTGAAAAGTGAATTTATACAATGCAAAATATATTGTTTTATTTTGCATTGCACTTTTCCACATCCAAAATGTAATAGTAATATATAAACAATGTTTGTAAATCCCAGGCCCTGAAGATGATCTCAACAAAGATCGAAACATTGGTACGATAAAGAAAATGTTTTTCTGAAACCTACATCACACCACACCGCATCTCACGATTTCTAAATAAATAACGATTAACGGTCACTAATCACCAAATATAAATGTAATGTTGGCATGGCAGTTGCGCCTCAGCATAAAGCCAAAATAATAATAATAATAATAATAATGCGAAAAAAAGAATTTTATTTACATAAACAAAAATAAATTTTCCTAATAAATTATAACAGAAATTAAAACAAAAACAATTCTTATACAGCATTGATTATTAAACTGTCTGCCGAAGGTACATTGTACCCTTTCATTGCATAACTAACATACTCTCTGAGTTCGATAAACTCCTTGGATGTATTTCAATATCGAATACATTTTATTCACCAAAATGATTATATAAAAGTATAAACACAAAGCCAAATGTTACAAAAATAGATTGTAGAAAGAAAAGTCTGATTGTGTTTATTTAATTTGAAATTTGACCAGAGATCATTTGAGACACATAGCTAATTTGTAAAATATACTAATTAAACAATGTATATTGTAAGAGTATAAGTCAGAATTATTAACAGTATCAATGTATTTTACTTCAAATTATTTTACACAATACGTTCATGGTTTAAATTTAGAGTTTTTGCTTGATAATTGAACAGATTTTTTTATATGTTTAATTTTTATTATTTGTAAATGCATCCAAGGAGTTTATTGAACTGCTGGAAGGATGTTGTTTATGCTCTAAATGAAAGGGTTTAGTTTAATCCCCAAAGATAAGTAGACAATGGGCACGGATCGCGTTGAAAACAACCCTTCCGCTACCTGCTCATAACTAGTTGTAGTAGTATGCAATAGTAAACAACACTTTCTCCGGGCTTTCCACATTTCGTGAAATATAACAAAACCATTTTTTATTTTACTTCAAAAACCTTTTTTTTTTTTTTTTAATAATTGATAATGAAATTGTCGAATTTTTTAAATTGTGAAATAAGTAGGAAATTATAAAAAAAAAATTTCAATCTAAAATTTTCTAGCATTGTATAAATTCATTTTTTTTAATCTAAAATTTTCTAGCATTGTATAAATTCATTTTTTTTTCAATCTAAAATTTTCTAGCATTGTATAAATTCATTTTTTTTTTCAATCTAAAATTTTCTAGCATTGTATAAATTCATTTTTTTTCAATCTAAAATTTTCTAGCATTAAATTCATTTTTTCACATCTTACATGTATTTGTAAAATTTAAACAATATTTATAAATCCCAGGCCCTGAAGATGGTCTCAATAAAGATCGAAACGTTGGGCGATAAAGAAAATGTTTTTCTTAAACCTACGTTACACGAGACCGCATCTCACGATCTCCGAATAATCATTAAAATTAAATTTTTG